AAGCAAATTCAGTCTTTTTATGTCCATATGAAGCCTTGCATGATTTGATCTTATCTCCAGCTGTATAGTAACTCTAATCCTGCACAAAATCTCAAGATTTAATTGATTTTTGATATTTTCATTATTTTATATTGATTTTATTTGATTTAAATGAAATAAAATCAAAATAAATAACAAAAATAAAAGAATGACAAGTGGAACGGCTCATGGGTCGTGGATCACATTACAAACTCAGTGCAAGCATAAAAGGTTGGGCCCATTTAGCAAAAAATGCCATTTTGGACATGTTTGACTTTTGGCAATTTTGCAAAAAGGGTCAACTTGGCCAATTCATAACTCCCTCAATTTTGACCCTAGAGAGGTGTTCTTGGACTTTTTAGAAATCTTAAGATGTCCTCTAAGCAACCCTTTTGGTCTCATCTCAATTGAGTCTTCCATGTTCACGTATGAAGCTTTGACCCAAAAGGTGTTTTTGTTGACTTTTCAAAATGACCTATAATGTCCAAATTCATATCTTCTTGTGAGTGCATATTTTGAACTTGGGAGGTGAAGATGAATTGTAGGTAATTACATCCCCTTCAAAATGAGATTCGGATGGGTCATTTTTGATAAAGTATGAGAAAGATATGCTTGGTCAAAGTTGAGTTGACTTTTCCTACAAAACCCTAACTTAGCAACTTTTGGGCTTTGATGAATTGGGAGCAATCCTTGATGAATCATGATCAACCCTTGATCAAATGATGAATAATACTTCAAAATGAGAATGTTGACCAAAAATCTTGAAGTTTGACTGTATGTGGGCCACAATTGACGTTTGCCCTAGCACAGTCGATTTTCAGGCATTTAAGTAGTTGACTGAGCAAACTTCCTTTGCAAGGCTTTGAAACTTGACCTGGATGATCTTGAGAATATATTAGGAAAATGGTGAGCATTTGGGATCCTTTGGACTCAAGCATCTTGATGTAAAATGAAACCCTAATTTGAGATAAATTGCCTTAGGAGAGAGTTTGGCTGGTCAACTCTTGGACTTCTTTAAGAAATTTGAGGACCTTACTTGCCATGTATTGAGAAATATGGGAGGGAAAATTTTGGGGTACAACATATGGCATGGGAACATGATCGAACCTTCTTTTGGGACCCCTCTGCCTATGTTGTCCTTGTTGTCCATGTTGTTGATTTTGCTGCTGATAGTTCTGAGGAGGAGCATACTGATTAGGAACAACAATGGGCATTAAATAATAAGCAAACTAGATTTGAGGATATGCAAGAGCCTTTCACTTATCAGTGGAAACATTTCTAGATTCACCCTTATTCTTCTTAGCAAATCCAGAGTATGGTTTCTCGCCATTGGCAGTGTTGTTGGTAGTAATGCCAGATGCACCTGAAATTGTACCAGCCTTGATACACTTCTCAATTCGTTTCCCAATAATAACAATATCAGATACGAATGAAAGTATGGCTAATCATATGCTAAATATATGGACCTCGCAAGGTGCCCATGAATAAGTCAACCAATTCACGATCCCGGAGAGGGGATGAACCCTCACAGCTAATCCACACCACCTCTGGGCGTATTCTTTGAAGGATTCTCCAGATTTATGTGCCATACTATGGAGTTGGGCACGACTAAGAGTCATGGCAGTGTTATAGTGGTAATGTTTCAAGAAAGCATCAACAAGCTCTCCCCAAGTACTGACACGAGTACTTTCTAGTTGCAGATACCACTCTAACGGTGCCTCGATCAGGCTGTCTTGAATGAAGTGCATGAGTAACAGTTCATTATCAACATGAGCGTCCATCTGGCGACAATAAGAACGAAGATGAGTCTTTAGGAAAGAGGTTCCCTTATACTTGTAGAGTTATAAAACTTTAAACTTTGGAGGAATAACAATCCTAGGGACAAGACACATTGCAGCAACATTAAATCCAGAAGTTTTAGAAATTTCCACAACTTTGAAGCGTTCTTTGAGTGAATGATATAACTTGGCAATTTCAGCAAGATCAATAGAAAGATAATTATGAGGGTCATCAAGATCAATGATATCATAATGGTTGTCAACCATTTTCTTATATGTTTCAGTAGTAATCACAACAGTAGCAGCCTTGGGAATCCCATTAAGAGGATCAGGGAGCCCATTAGAAGTGGAAGGAGAAACTTCTACAATCTTAGTGAAATTCTGACGAAGCTCTTCCTTTCCCTGAACAACAACATGAAGAGTCTCGAGTATTTGATTCATTCTAGCACCCATGGTGTCCATGTTCTGACGAAGAGCATTCTGATTTTGTTCAAATATATCAATGAGTCTTCGCTTGATTACTTCTGGTATGGCACAAATGTAGGGAAATTATTATCGTTGATTCTGAACTCTGAATGAAAAGAAGGGCCCCAATAAGCTTCATCTATGAACAATGAAATGCATGATATTATGAATGCATGTCTCATCTTTCATTTCCAGGGAAACTCAAAGAATTGTCTATCCATAAGTATCCTTTTGATAATATCATTCATCTTTTGAAAAGCTCAGCGAAAGAGACGTGCCTTTGGAATTCCCTATAAATAAGATGTGTATACATAATGATATGATGTTATGGTATGCAATAACATAGGATCAAGGCTCCATGGAATTTAGATAGCCACTGTACAACCCTATGAATAGATATTGTACAATCTTCCAAATAAATACTGTATAATCTTCTGAATAAGATGAATGTCATAAGATCAAAGGTTCGGAACATAAAAAAGAACCATAGTCACCAATATAAATCCAGAACAGAATCATCAAAACAAATAGTCACCATCTGTACCTGTAAATATTATTCCCGCCCCACTCAGAGGTGAAATCTAGGTCAAGGTAAGGTCAATGACAACTCAGAATCTCAGGTTCGCCTGAAAATACTATCGTTGTACACCTACGTGATAACAATAGTATTTCATTAAAACCTCATCTGAGCATGGACAACATGACCGCACTAGAAAGATCTACATCCCCTAGCCATCATGTTTCACTCTATTCCTACGTGTTCCTAAGAGTTTACAACTCTGGTCTAGGTATTGGGCCTTTTACCTCAATAATAATATCCACCCAACAAGGAAACATAGCCAACACAACAACAATATATGGAAAGCGGTAAAATGCTATGCAAACATATGCACGAAAGCATTTACACAAAGCAGAAATAAAGCAATAACATACAAAACACACAAGGATAAAAAAACAAACAAAAGCTAGGATTGACTTGCTAGAATTCCCCAGCAGAGTCTCCAACTGTCGTGCTGCCGAAAAACAGAGTCGCTACCAAACTCTATTTATCCGGAAGGAAGGGAAGATATCGAGAGAACCCTAAAGAAATGGATAATATGGTCTTGCGACCAAGAGAAAGGTTATGGAAGTCGGTTATACGATGGGAAGGTATTAACACCCCACGCATCTGTGGTACTCCACATGATCCACTTAAGTTTGCTCTAATCTAAGAGTGTGCAAAAATATATGTCTAAAGCTTAATGTTGAGAGGAAATGCATGCGAAAGAAAACACTGGGAAAAGAAGGAAAATTTACAAAGTTTTGCTCGCCTAGGCCACACGACCTAATGTCTACGTATCCCTTTCGAGGAATTAAATTACTGTAGTTTGGCTCAAAAGTTTTGATTTGTTGTGTATTTTTTATGGGTGACGAACCCTTTTGAAAAGATTTTGAGTTACGCCCTCAAGACAAGTTGCCAAGTTTTATTTGTTTGTGTTTTGTTATTGTGTAAAGTGTTTAAGCATGATTAAGTGTTTTGAATTTTCGATAAAGAAAAAGAGTGTTAGTTTTAAGGATGCAAAAAGGGAATGAAAAATCTAAGATAAATTCTATTCCTAATGTTATCATACAATGATGGTCCTACAGTTAGATTTGAAAAGGAATTCTACCTAATATTAGCATGCATGGTTTAAAGACCTAAGATCTATCTCAATTTAAAGCTTAACTAAGATTGGATTGAGAAATCCTATGGGAACATGGTATGATTACGCAAGCAAGCAACAATTATTCAAAATAACACGAATTCAAATTTTATTCTATTATCTTATGTCATTTTATCATGTGAAGAAATGTAAACAAGAATTAAAATTTCTATTCTAAAAAATTAACCAAATCAAAAATAAAAATAAATTGCAATGAAAATAAGCCAGGGGTACAAGCCGATCCAAGGTGTTGTAGCAGCAGACACAAGTAGCTATAGGCCCAACCACTAAGGTCCACAAGAAATTTTTGTTCAACTTTCTTCCATGCCAAAAATGAATATTAGGCTCTCAGGAAAAGCATACACAATAATGGCCCAATGCAAGATTCAGAGAGTTCGGTCCAACAAAACACAACACCATAAAATCCAGATTTTCTTGTTCAGTCTTTATTCATTTCATTAAAAGGAAAAATAAAAAACAAATTAACAAGAGTGAAACGACGGTGTTGAGTAAGCAGTGCTAGGATTAAACACAATGTGACCACTAGACTTATTTTGAATCAAATTTCATCTTCCTCCTCTCACTCAATAACACTCTCCTTCTTCTCCTTCATCGTCAATTTCGTCGTCGTGAACATCATCGCATCCCACTCTCGCTGTTCTCCTCTCATCCCTTCTTCTTTCTCGCCGAATCTAATATGATAGGGAACTCTAGTTTTCAACTAAAACGAAATTACATGGTGATGGCAACGAATAAGAAGGAGCAACCATGGGGGTTTCATTCTACAACTTATACGCTACATTATGGTGATGCAAAAATGCAAAAAGTATGAAGAATTAAAGTAAACCAGCGCTTACCTACCAGAGAGAGTCTGGTGCCTCTTCAATGGCGCCGATAACACAAGAATTCCAGAGGATTTAAGGTAACTTTCATTATTCTTCTCCTTCTTCTTGCATGTTTGCTTCTTCTTCTACTTTTTTTTTCTCGTTTTTTTTTTTTAATTATGGTTGTCGTGCGCGACATAAACATGACGTTATTCTTGCTCTGTGAAGTAGGTTCAAGAGAGGGAAGCCTGAGATTCACATATCAATGATGAAGATTGAAGACGCGTGTGATGCAGTTGCAGATGAAGAAATTTCGGTCGCAGAATCGTTGATGTATGGAGAAGGTGTAGGTTGATGATGATTGAGGATTGAAGTTGAATGAAGGTGAGTGTATGGTAGAGGTTGCAAAAAATTTGAGGGAGTGAATGATGAAAATGATGGAGATAAGGGAAAAGGTGCATCAGAAGGATTAATCTGAGGTATGAAGTATATAGAAAAATGAAGGTGAAAATGGTGGTTATAATGGTTAAAGGGTGGAGAGAATGAAAGTTTATGAATCTGAAAAATAATGGTGAATGAAGGTGTTATGTAGAGAGTTGAATTGATGATTCAGTTACAGAGGAGATAATAAGGGCCCTTGGATTGAATATTTTAGGTTATTGAATCAAAGGTGGAGATCTGAGCTTGCTGAGAGTTAGTTATGAGGATTGGTTTTCAGTTAGCTTTCTGTTATGGTTGTTATAAGTGAGCTGGCACGATTTTGGTTAGCTATAAATAGTTAGAGGAATGAATGGCAAGATTGAAGGAAATTGTGGACTGGAGAATCAGTTATAGTGAATTAGATTCAGTTAGTAATTTGTTAGAAGTTATATGTTCTGAAACTTCTGTTAGTATTAGGAACTATTATGTTGTTAGAAATTTTGCTTAGTAACTAGATTTTCTTTGAGTTTTATGGTTTCTGTTAAGAGTTTTGGACATGATTTTGAATTATCCCGAGTGCAGGTCTATTTCTACAGAGTGACTTTTCTTGAAATATTTTGTTTTTCTTCTGTTGTTATGCTGCCAAACACTTACGCAGGGCTGGTTTATGATTGATACTAGGCAGCTTGGTTTTGATTAATTGATTGAACCTGGTTTTATGGCATGGATAAACTGAACCGGCTTTGATAGCCTAATATTTTTTAAACTAAATTGGTTTAAATGATGCAGTTAACTTGTATTTTAATCGTTGATGTCAAATGGAATGTAGGCCAATCTGATAACGATTTTTTTGACTTGTATGAAGATTGGATTTGATCTGTTTTAGTGTTAAATGCTGACTGGTTTTTGGATTGGATATTAATGAGTCTTTTTCTGTTTTGGTTCACTACTTGCGATGAACTGTTATGCTCGAGGAATATTGTTTCTTTGTTTTGAAAATGGCAGAGTGTAGGTTGCATGATCTGACTTCAGTTCTCAGATTAACTGGTACATGTGTTGTAATTGAATTTTAAATCGAGTCGCCACTACTAGTTTTTATCCTAAGGAAGAGAATCTAATAGGAATCCCCAATTTTGTACACAGAGATTCTAGGTTCTTACTTTGTTTAGGCGAAGGGAAGGTGTTAGGCACCCATCATCTACCTTGTTCGCAAGGATATCAGGATTTAGGTTTTAAAGGTTTAGGGTAAGGGTTTTAATTTTTTAATAGAGGAACTCACCACGATTTTAATCGTATGCCTACGTGTCCTCTTATGAGGATCCAGAGTCCCAATTCGTAGTTCGTATAAGTTTGTGTTTTTTATGGATTACGCAAATATTTTAATTCCCCTCGCACTTAGTCCGGGTATGTGAATAACTGAGATTTTGGACCAAATGTGCGATCAATTAAAATATGTTTCGTATTCCTTTTTTGAAAATTAATTGTTAAATTAATTTATTATGAAAAATGATTTGGTGTTGGTTAAATATCTTTTATGTATTAATTGTGAAAAATATCTTATTTAATGCATGATTTAAAATAATTTAATGTAATAAAATAAATAATATTTGAATGATGTTTAAAAAAATATTATTTAATAATAGTAATAATTAATATAATAGTATAATTATAGAAAATATAAAAATAATAAAGTAAAATAATAAAGAAAATAAATTAAAATTGTAGGGGTGTGTGATTTTAGTTGAAAGTAAAATTGGGTAGGTGCTCGCAGCGTGAGTCTGAATTTGGATATTGAATTCAGGCCCAGAAGGCAGGGGGTACAGTTTTTTGGTCAAGGTAGTAAACCAGGGGCGTGAGAAATAGGATCCCAAGTCTAGATTTTGGACTTGGCCCACCAGGCCCGGGGAGTGTGAATTTGCACGTGGTTAGTAAACAAAAATTGAGAGGAGGTGTGAATAGATATGGGCCAGGGCCAAAGTAACAAGGATTGGGAGTTCGTTTGGACTCTGTGTGGATGGCTGCACAATATCACGATAAGCATGTGCATTAGGGACGTTCGATTGAGATCATACAGTTACGATTGGAGGAGTATGATAATAATGCATGGATGGCCTTATGGGTCGTGGACCACATTACAAACTCAGTGCAAGCATAAAAAGTTGGGCCCATTTAGCAAAAAATGCAAATTTAGGACACATTTGACTTTTGGCAATTTTGCAAAAAGGGTCAACTTGGCCAATGCACAACTCTTTCAATTTTGACCCTAGAGATGTGTTCTTGGACTTTTTAGAAAGCTTAGGATGTCCTCTAAGCAACCCCTTTGGTCTCATCTCAATTGAGTCTTCCATGTTCATGTATGAAGCTTTGACCCAAAAGGTGTTTTTGTTGACTTTTCAAAGTGACCTACAATGTCCAAATTCATATCTTCTTGTGAATGCATATTTTGAACTTGGGAGCTGAAGATGAATTGTAGGGAACTACATGAGCTTTGGATGGGTCATTTTTGATAAAGTATGAGAAAGTTATGCTTGGTCAAAGTTGAGTTGACTTTTCCTACAAAACCCTAATTTAACAACTTCCGGGTTTTGATGAATTGTGAGAAATTCTTGAGGAATCATGATCAACCCTTGATCAAATGATGAATAACACTTCAAAATGAGAATGTTGACCAAAAATCTTGAAGTTTGACTGTATGTGGGCCACAATTGACTTTTGCCCTAGCACAATCGATTTTCAAGCATTTGAGTAGTTGACTGAGCAAACTTCCTTTGCAAGGCTTTGAAACTTGACTTGGATGATCTTGAGAACATAATAGGACAATGGTGAGCATTTGGGATCCTTTGGACTCAAGCATCTTGATGTAAAATGAAACTCTAATTTGAGATAGACTGCCTTAGGAGAGAGTTTGTCTGATTAACTCTTGGACTTCTTTGAGCAATTTGAGGACCTTACTTGCCATGTATTGAAAAATATGGGAGGGAAATTTTTTGGGTACAACAGCTGCTCTTGTTCAATATTCTTAAACCTGAGGATGTAGATTGCCTTGTATGTCTTTCGTGATCTGAAGGTGGAAGATGATTGAACACTAGAGTGCCCAGAAATTTGCACTCGCAGGGAGTGGTACTTATCTTGCGATATCGGGAATGGGCTTATAGATGCCATTTGGAAGTCCATGATGGAAGATGGGCTTAAGGATGCCATCCGAAGAAGTTTCGATCGCATAAGAGATTCCTTTGCGAGAACCTGTATACCTGCTGTTGAGGAAGAATTTGCTGGGGAATTTGGTCTCTGTCGAGAGAAATAGAGTTCTAGGAGCTTCAGTTGTACGTTACTCTACTGGAGAATAATTCCGTTTGAGAAGCGGAGGTGAACTGTATATATGATCGAGGTATCTGCTGCACCGTGACTTTCTGGGGAAATGTGAAATCAATTGTGTTTGATCGGGTCCCGGTCTTACAGTGTTGTGGACTGTTGTCTGGGGATAAGAGAGGAAGAACCCGAATAGTAGGGTTGTGAGAAGAAACCTGGATAGTAGGGTTACTTCGATATGAAAGCCTGGATAGTAGGGCTGTGAGAAGGAACCTGGATAGTAGGATTACTTCGATATGAAAGCCTGGATAGTAGGGCTGTGAGAAGGAACCTGGATAGTAGGGTTACTTCGAGATGAAAGCCTGGATAGTAGGGTTGTGAGAAGGAACCTGGATAGTAGGGTTACTTCGAGATGAAAGCCTGGATAGTAGGGCTGTGAGAAGGAACCTGGATAGTAGGGTTTCTTCGAGATGAAAGCCTGGATAGTAGGGCTGTGAGAAGGAACCTGGATAGTAAGGTTACTTCGATATGAAAGCCTGGGTAGTAGGGCTGTGAGAAGGAACCTGGATAGTAGGGTTACTTCGATATGAAAGCCTGTGTAGTAGGACTGTAAGAAGGAACCTGGATAGTATGGCTGTGAGAAGGAACCTGGATAGTAGGGTTACTTCGAGATGAAAGCCTGGATAATAGAGCTGTGAGAAGGAACCTGGATAGTAGGGTTACTTTGAGATGAAAGCCTGGATAGTAGGGTTGTGAGAAGGAACCTGGATAGTAGGGTTTCTTCGAGATGAAAGCCTGGATAGTAGGGTTGTGAGAAGGAACTTGGATAGTAGGGTTACTTCGATATGAAAGCCTGGGTAGTAGGGCTGTGAGAAGAAACCTGGATAGTAGGGTTATTTCGATATGAAAGCCTGGGTAGTTGGGCTGCTCTTGTTCCGCTGATGATTACTCTGTTTAGCTTCGAGTGTCAATCATGGGCTTGCTGGAAATTGTTGATAATAATGTCTTTCCTGAAATAAACACAGGGTTAGTTATATGTGATGTATGAGATGCATTGTGTGTTGACGTTCTCAAAATAAATGAGACCATGTTACATGTGGTGTATGCATATGTCATGATGTATGGCCATAAAATGCTGATGCAATAATCGGAATCGAGAAAAATAAATCCCTGATTGCCATGAAAACCATAGTTCTTCCACCTCTGTTGGGGATGGTGGACAAAGATGACCGTGATGGGAGTTTTCCCCTTGGCTGGAGAATATTCTGCTGGAAAAGACCCTGCTTGAGGATAACTTTGCGAGGAATAAAGCTGTCGGAGATGGGATACGCTGTCGATAGATCATGCGCACTTGGAGAAATAACTCAACTGGGGATGAATTTCTCTTTCTTGATGATAATGAATTCTGTCGGAGATTGAAAATCTGCTTGTGAGAGAAATAAACTCTGCTTGGGGAAGAAATTTACTGACTCACTCGTAAATGTGAACCTTAACTGGGGAGAGTTGTGCCCTGTTGGGAAAGTTAACACCATTGTCTTTGGATACTTCCTACTCTGCGGGGAGTGTATGTACCTTTAGTCATATTCTCAAGCTGGCTCTATCCCGATTCCTAATGGACAGAGTAACTGTAAGGTTTGGGCACTTCTTGTTTTCCCTGTTCCTGGAATTACGAGTAATTGTCTTTTGTTTTTTTATGTAAACATTTATGAGCAACAATTATTCTCAAATTCAT